AAGCGTAATCAAGTAGAATGACAAAATAAACATTGCAAAACGAAAAAGTTCCCGCTCAAGCACAATGAGACTCTCCGGTTCATCTCATTCCACTTGGGCTTCCTGCCTCTAGATTGCTGGAACAGCGAAAACTCCAATGATTCGTTCCTGCAAGGGTTTACTAGCCTTGAATTATTCTTTTTAGGCTCTGATTCCCTTGCTGGAGGTGTCATAGAAGTCTAGGGTGCCTCAAAAAATGCTGAGGGACAGCAGCATCGCGCAACACAGCGGTCGAGGCATTCTGAGCCTACGTGTCTGCTGCGGGCCACGCAAAAGTCAGTTAAATTCAGTGCGGGCGCTACGAAGCCGCCCGCCGGCCCCGTCAAAGCCGGTGCCTCCACACCAAAGAGCGTGCATCACTGACGTCATAGTACGTGCGCGGCTCGGGCTCCCAGGGCCTCCTTCGCCTCCTACGCGGGGGTGGGGTCGGGCCAGGAGGCTGTGGTACAGGGGTAGGGTCGGTGGGGGGCCTTGGGTTTGGCTGCGGAGTAGGGGTGGGAGGCTTGGGGATGGGCGCCGGTTCCGCCGGGGGTGCCGGCGCTGGGGGAGGAGGGATGGGTCGGCGTCTCCTGCGGGGTGGCATCCCAGGGGGCCTTACGGGGTCTGGCATGGTGGGAGGTCCTGGAATTGCTTTATGAGTGGTGGTAGTCACACTGGTGGTGGTGGTAATAACAGGAGTGGTCGTAGTGGTAATAGTTGGAAACGTGGTCGTGGTTGTAGTAGTGGTTGTTGTGGTAGTTGTGGTCGTGGTGGCTGTGGTGGTGGTAGTTGTGGTGGTGGTCGTAGTGGAAGTTGTGGGCGTGGGGGTGGGTCGTGGAGTAGTTGTTGTGGTACCGGGACTTGTGGTGGCTGCGCACGTAGTAGTAGTGGTTCGAGGGGGGGGTGGGAGTGGTACTGGCGGCTTAGGAAGAGGAGAACCCGTGGCTAAAGCTTCAAGAAACTTAATTCTTGACTCTAGCTCTACTGCCACCTTCAGTGCTCCCATCATCTCTTGCACTGTGGGGCTGTTTGGCAGGGCCGTCGTTATCTCTAGGACTAGTTCTTGTAGCGTGGGCACCACGAGCTGAGGATCAGTCCCGAGGACCTGCAGCGGTGAACAGGCGAGCCTGCGGCCTGTAGAAGAAGAAAAGCACAGCTATGAGTAAACTCAGGAGTGGAACAAACGTGCTGAAGACCTACATAGGGGACCTGCGCATGTGCTGCACTTGAAAACGTAATTGAGAACTCTAAGAAAGGCAATGGAAGGTAATGTCACAGCTGTGCAGCTTGCGTAATCACTTGGGGCAGCTTTTGTAAATGCCATCGATGCAGGGGAATGTGCTTTGGCATCTGTTACTGTCTGCTACTGACCACTGGCGTGACAGCTTATCACAACCGGAAGTGAATGTTCGCCAATACTACAGGGATTGTCTGCCGTCTCGTCCGAGGCCACCTGGCGCAGGTCTACCAATAAGGGAGAGGGTGAGACATCTGTTCCGGGGCCAAATTTTCCGGTAAGGTCCCCAGCATGGCAGGAGAAGGGGAGAGCATTGTACTGGGTGCTATTGCATGAATACGCCGCCCCTTGTTTTCTTTTCCCCGTTTCCTTGCTGCGTCAACAACCAAGAAAGCAGTTTGCCACAAGCTTCACATGCCACTGGAGTCCTTATATATAAGGCAGAGCAGAAGTAGACAAATTACGTTTTGGGAATTTGAAAGTTTACTCGAAGGGGGGAATGGATAGAGCTTCGCAAAGCTCCGCGCCGTCGGGGCCGCAGGCCAGACCGGGGTCATGCCTGCCTCCGACCTTCTCTTTGCTGCATTGGCCATGATTGTTAAAAGAACCTTCGTGTGACAAACTTGGGTTGCTCTTTTCGTGCACCGACAGACCGACTGGGGTGACGCAAGGAGTCTGGAAGACTTGCTGAAAGAGGGGGGAGAGGTGGGGCACAGACAAAGTCAGACGGGCCAGAAAAGAAGACGGAAAAAGCGCCACAATTCCTTTCATTCCTTCCAGATTAAATTTGGCATACGCTATGCAGCCTGAAGTCGAACCAACGCAGGCGCGCATAGCTCCATAAAGAGGCAGAGGTAAGCTTCTATTGTTTGCATTATTAGCCCTGCGGGCACTTGCCGTCCCTTCCGGCTAGGTTGAGAAGAAAGTCACCTTGTTTCTTGAACTCTTCATAATCAATATTAAGCTTTTCGTCCTGGAGCTTTAGAAGTCTCCCTAGGCGAAACAGCATAGGCAAAGGCAATTAATACAATTCGTGACCATGATTTGCAACCATGTAGACATCACTACGCAGAATACCCTGAAAGTCAATGCAGTTCCCCAAACTCTTGGAGGTAAGAGAACAATTTTTTGGTTTTCACCTGCCAGTCCGTTGAGACAACCTCTAAGGAAGCGCACAATGGGGTCCACCCCGTTGTTGGCTTGCATATGAAACTCTCCGCGGGCACTGGGGTTCATAGTACTAATGAATTCCATGAGTCTCCTGACGTTGGCCGCAGATGTTAAATGGTCTTCCTTTTCGTCTGTCAACGACTCCTCGGGGCTGAGAGAAATCTCTAACTTGTCCATCTGTGATTGTGGCAGTAGGCTCGAAAACGCCACTGCTGCTCCATTATCAGAGCCAATAAGTAGCTCATGAAAACTATCTTGATCACTCGAAAAACAGGAAGAGAGGCAAAAGAGAGAAAAATGCAGCAACACGGCCAAAATCATTGCAGTACCACAGCCTCGCAGTGTAGAGCACTGCCGACAGCGCTCATTGCCCGGAAGCGTCATGCTTGGGGAGAATAAATCAACAACCAAGAAGAATACACTGCCAGCTCATTAGTCTAAAAGGAGCAGTCTGGAGTCAAAAGGAAAATTCAAAGAACTCATGAACTGTCAGAACCGAGCGGGGTTGACAGCACTTGTCAGGTCTTGCGAATGTGAGAGACAAAGTGACCCGGCTGGCATGCTGCCTCTGTCAACAATTTCCTCCTCGTTACCTGACTACCTCGGTTAGAAAAATGAATAAAACCAGTATGTGCTGACTGCTGGGGCCCAGACGTAAATCAGAACTGGCGCACGCACTGCGCCGGCATGTGGGTGACAGGCGCCTGACCACTGGCGCCGCCCTAGTGCTCGGTGCACTCTGTGCTTGAAATCTCAGCCGAAAATTAGATTACCTGTATATTTTCATATTTGGTCCATGCATAATGGGTAATTTCAGTGTCCGCCTGCCTCAAACACTACTGACTTGCTCACTATTAGGAAGACCCCTCAGAGTACAGCTCCATACAGCTGGTTCCTAGGACTAGAGCCCAGAGGTTGGAGACAACAACACAAAAGCTATGCAGGAGTAGCTAAAATATCTGATAGCATGCAGGCTTTCAAAATTTCCCCCCAACTCTCAAATTGTGGCCCGCTGCGACCTCTTTGCAGCCTGTAATGGCTGACGAACCAGCGACACAAGAAGAATGTGTGCCCGTTTGCAGCAACAAATTCGTGCCGTACTGAGCCAATACAAGCTCCAATTTTTGTCACAAAAGCCAAGCTTATTCATACGAAGCTGATCAATCGAACAAGTGTCCTTGCGGAAGAAGAGAAGCGACGACACAGAAGTGGACTGGATGCCCGCAAAAGGTGCTAGTTTCGTCTTATTACAATTAGGCAGAAATGAATATTTCCGATGTTTTGCTATTTTCAAGCTCTCCTGGTGGTGAAGTTAGCCAAAGCTGACAAGGGACGAGCGACATCTTAACGATTAATCTGCATTTATTCTGACATCTGTAGGAGTTCCGACAAGTTACACTAAGCATTACTTTGGCCCAGCAAATTTAACACAGACAGAGACAGGCCAAAACAACCAAATTGGCACTTGAGAAAAAGCTCTTTCGCGGTGGCTGTATATCTTCCAAGGCTGCAGTGGTAGCACGCTGTGATTCGACTATGTATATATGCACGCTAATGCCAAGTGAGCCACGCTCTGGCGTTTGCTATATAAGAACAAAAAAAGGCCTGCATTTTCTTCGTCTTTTGATACGGGAGATTCTGGTGGGACATTATTCAGACGTTTTCAGTCAAAATTTTGCCTCAGCGTTGGCTCTTTGGTGCTCCCTTGCCGTGTACGGACTGTTGGCATGTTCTGGTGAGTAGTCTGCCTAGCAAGAATAAACTTGGCTTGTTTTGCCGCTTTGGACAAATATAGTGCACTTTTACCTCTGTAAGTGAATAGTCTACCTAACGGAAAGGCCCTTGTCCTAATCTCGAGCAACTAGCATGTAATTGCGCCAGGTGTGTTGCTCTATTTGGAGCGCAGAACGACCAGAAGTTGTTAGCTCTAATGTGTAAACTTTATTCTGAGTAGTTGACACAGAGTTCACAAGGCGAGTTGTTTTTTTTGACTGGGAAAAATAGTTTCTTGCTCTGCTCTTAAACCCATCACATGATATGCAGAGTGCAGAGCATTCTAGATGTGCTACCGGTAGAACATAGTCCCCTTATCACATCCAAAACTATGAAATTGCGAAGATATAGGCAATTTTCGTTAGGATTCACGGGGTGAGTCAGCGAGGTATAACTTGCGAGCAGCTCTTGTTCGAAGTTTTTTGCTACACGTACGCATGTCGTCACCATCACTTTGGCTCTTGGGCGGCACGGAGGCTACCATTTGTTTTTGTGTTTTTTTGCATAAAAATTATTATTAGAAAATTATGCAGGGTGGCAGTAATTTACCTTGACGAACCAGCCCACACTGACTTTGCACAACCCCCGCTCGGCTGGCTCTCCACAGGCCAGTGGGCAAAATTGCTATCACCGGGGCTTTACGTTGGCACACAACTTCATCAATGTCCGAAGTTTATTATTTGCTTATCTTGTCTCCTTTTTCAATAGTTTTTGGTCAGAAGCCTTGAACCGCTGATTACCTGCATCAACGCAGTAGCCTGCAGTGGTAGAAAGAGTGACCACTGGTGCACTTGTTGACAGCATGGCAGCCTATGGAGGAATTCGCTTTTTGTTAGCTCGCAGTCTCATATTACTTATCTTTTGTACACTCGCCACGGCAAATGAATTCCGCAGGCTCGGCGCGGCCGGTTCCGTTGACGCCAATGAAGCACAACCTCCTACCGAAATGAAACCCCACATCCCAGAAACGTCCTCAGATGCCGCCCTGTACTCCATAATAGCTGCTTCTGAGGATGAAGAACAATATGATACACAACAGAACTACCCTCCAGGCTGTTTCATCAACGGTCAAAACCGCTGCCGAGATGCGCCTATAACTGGCGTGCGGGATTACTTACGGTCCTTGGCCGGTAAATTTTCGAATTAATTATCCTTATTTTTTGTGCTTCCAGATAAGTACATTGCATTTTCTATCTGTGGCGTTCAAGCGTTTACATTAGTTTCACCGCTGCATCTGGCCCCTCCGCTCCCAGTTTCATTTTTTTCGCGTCGGTTGCTGTTTGCTTGTCATTTCAGTGAGGCTCTCAGCTGTTAGCAGCGTTGGGATTGATTACAATGACCGCCAATTAGTGGACGCACTCGATAGATTGGGTAGGCTGGGAGCTGCGTCGGGCTTAGTTCGTGCAGACCTGGTAAACTTAGAGCAAACCCAGCAAACCCAGCAACACTAATTCCATCGGATTCACCATTTACAACTTCTTACAATATGAGGGCAACTTGTGTCACTCCGTTGTTTGCAGGGTGTATGAATGTGGCAGTGATAGATCTGGACGAGGTGCAAGTCACTGTGGGTTTGGTACGCCAAATGATGCTGTCCCGCGTGCGCATAGACAAGCAGCAGCTTCAAGATTTCAGCAGCAAGTGCAACAATCAGCTGCTGCCGCTGTCATTCCATCAGCATGAACGCGCAGTAGACTTGATGAGTAGAGGCCACCTCAACATCGATAAGTCATGCGAGGCAGAGAGGACTGGAGGCCATCACGACCCAGGCTTCGCTTGCGGGCCCACAGGGGCCTCCGCCTGCAAGAATTTGAACATCCCCGGTTCTTCGTGAGAACTCCCTTTCGCCTTTACTCATTTGTGGAATTTTTATTTTTCTTTGCTTAAAGGAAGCGAGTAAAACTCGATGGCACATTGCGTCGACGCCTGTGCTTTTCCTGCAGAGCCCTAGAGGGTACTTCCCACTTTACGGGGCAGTACAACTGCAACCCTTCAATCTACGCCCACAGGCCCTTCGCTTGCCACGCTGGTGACCTTAGTGGCAAGTTGGGGAGTGGGACAAATGTGTCCACTGACTCCAACAGGCCGGACCTTCGCCTTATTGCCTTTGACAGCCACGCTGACAATTCTTGTGTCGCCTCCGAAAAAAAGCAGTCCCTAGTTCTTCATTGCCAGTCAACAAGTGAGAGCCGGACGTAAAATATAACCACCCCCGGAGAGCAGCACAAGCTGCAGCAGCCGGCACGCTTTGTTGTGCTTCTTTTGACTTCTGCAGAGTGTGTTCGTAGCAGCTGGCTGCTAACCCCGTAATAACCTGCGGAGCCACCACATCAGCTACCACATCAGCTAAACCCACCAGTTTGAAGGTAGTTGTTTTGTTTTCCTCATGTCACTTTCCGCCGTTTGCTTGCGCAGACTATAGAATAGCCTGTGCGCCGTTCCAGCGAGTGGAAACAGCGGGGAGACGCATGGTGACTTTGTTACGGGAGGTGATAAAAGCCGCCGTGTTGGCGATCCCCCATTCTACTGAGCATAGGTCCGTGTTCGCGTCGCTGGTGCTTCTTAACGAGCTGGAGAAGAGAATTGCCATACTAGAAAAGGCAGCGAACATCAGAAGGCCCCATCAAGGGGGCAACCCCTTCCCGCCCGCAGATACAGACGCAAGTGAACATCTCGCGCGAATGGTCGACTAGCTCTTGTCAAATTGATGTACTCGCAGCTCCATGTACGCTTGCGAGCTAACGCACTCATTGGCTCTGGCTAGGAATTTATTTGTGAAGCCGTCATTGGCCTGCAAATTATCCTTGAAAGACAAAATGATGAACCCGCTTTTGGTACAACCGCAAATAATAGTGGGGTCAGCTCCCTCCTATAGTACAAATTATGCTTACATCTCCCTTTTCCGCATTTGCTGCCTGTTGCTGCTGCTTTGTTGCTAGTATTGTCACAAGGAACTTGGGGAGTATTCGTGACATTTGATGCCAGCTGAGTGCATGGCATGGTTAATTGATTAAGGCATACAAACGCGTTTTGCGGAGTCCGCGTACAATCACGAACAGGCTGATGCGCATACGTGCGAAGTTCTGTTGGTAGACCTAAGGGTCGAGATACCAATATATGCAGCGAGGGGAGAATGGGCTAACCCAAGGCTGGCTCATGAGCGTCCTCCTTGCGACAAAACAACACCTTTGCTCCTCCGCTTCGATTTCAACTGGCCTGTAGCGTGGGTGGTGAGCTGAGTGTAGGTTCGCAGCACGTGCTGCAATGGCTGCCACACATTCCACCAGTCGTTAGTTCTTGGCAGGCTTTCGGCCAGCTGACCATTTGCACTCAGGTCATACGACGCCCCTTCACCTCGCTAGCCATTTGTTGTGAACAGTGGCGGAGGCTGGGCTTTTCGGCTCTGGTGCGGAGAGCCCTTCGCACGGAGCATGCCTTGCAAGTGGCGGTGGACGTTGATTTCCTGTTCGCGTTTGTACGCCATGCTTCAGCTGCCCGTGCTTATAGGTATGTTGAGCCCACGTACACATGCCTGCGCATGCGCCTCCTTCATCGCCGCGTGCTCTCATGCCAAACAGAGGCGATAGTGCCTCACCTCAGCTATGCCCCACCACCCATCCACAGAAGACGTTCTAACGCCTGTACGCCTAACTAGATTTCTGTCATTACCATTAGCGGTGGCATTGCCAGTGGCGTGTTCACCAAAACCAGCTGACGTGCTCCCGTCAAAACTGTCGTCTACTTGTTCGCAGCATTCTTATCTGTTCGCTGCCAATACAGCACTGCTACACCAAATCCTAACGAGGGCTAAGAAAGCACCCCACTTGTAGCTGCAGTTCAACAAAAAAAAAGCCACAGTTGGGGTAGGGCGGCCAAAGTTTGGGAGAAGAGCGTAAGACCTTTCCCGTGGCTGTGCGTTTGCACTGACAAGAAACTGCAACACGCCACTTCTGCTACTAAAGCTGCTGTACAACACTGGTACAGCAGGTATTTCGCACGCTAGCAAGGTACCTGGCTCGCTGGCCGCCTAACCAGTGATCACGCTGGCCAGCTATCTACGTAGCTAGCTAGCTGGCCCCACGTTTGCATTGACATCCGTGGATGCCGTATTGAGAAGACATTCTCTGTAGCGCTTGATATGTTCTGCAGCGCCTTCTTGCAAATACGATGCCTCTCTAAGCTGCAACAAACGGCAAGAGTCAACCACCTGAAGCGGGGCAGGGGGCCCGCGAGACACCATTAGTCCATCCAGCCTGTGACAAGCCAACGGCCGAAGAGGAGCACCATAAAAAAAACCGTACCAAACCAACGAAGGCATAGCAGCAGGAAGTCTTCAGCCAACACACAGAATGGCACAGAATGAGAGCCAGACAGCTGCCACGACTAACTAAAGCTGACTAGATACTAAAGCGCAACAAGCTGCAGCTGAAGAAAAGCCGCAGCCGCAGGCAAGCAGTGATTAACTCTGCACTCCACGGAACAAAGTTGAAGAAAGCATGACAGCAAAAGCGGCCAACGAAACGGCACCCATTGGGGACTTTTGGTCCAGGGCAAGACAATGACACAACAAACCACGAAGACAACAGGAACACACACAAACATGAACTATTGATGACAGGAAAATGAAGAAAGGCACAGGAAGAAGAACTGCTACATATGAGCCGAAACAAAGAAGCAAAGGCATACGGCAGCAAAACATGGCGGGATAAATAAACGCAAGAGTTTCCGAACGGCAAAACAAGGACACCATAACGGCAAGGCAAGGACACATAAGTGCAGATGAGAGCAAATAAGGAGAAACCAAGAACGACGGAAAAACTCACTCATAAGCCGGCAGATGCACAGACAGACAGCAAAGAACAAAAGCCTAAGCTACAAACTGAACGATCAGCAATAATCAAATGAAACACACTTTGGAGTAAGCAAAGCAACGACAAATTAAATAGAGTCAGCAACAAATCCAAGTAATAAACTTTGAAGTGAATTATGCAGGCGGGAAGGGACCCAACGCACTTGTTGTCGTAGAACAAGTGTAAATGCTGCAGAGCGGAGTTTAGCCTCGCCAAATACCTTCATGCCAAACAAAACAAAGAGACGAAAAGAGAGAGGAAGCTCTTTAGGATGGTGCTGCAGCAGTCTCATTGAAAACATGCCTCTCATCACAGCAATCAACCGCATGGCACGCAGCATTTGGGAGAACGCAGCAAAAACCACAACAGCAAGAATAGCAGCAGCAACAACAGCAATAACAACAGCCGTAGAACTGGCAACCACCACAGTAGTAGCAACATTAGCAGAAACAGTCACTGAAGTAAGGGCAACAGCAGCGTGCGTACAACTTATCTGCCCGCAAATCGCGCGAGAAGCGCGGGGAGTGCAAACAGAGGAAAAGCAACAGGAGAGACACAGCGACGTTCAAATGAGGGTACACCTGGTCCAACAACAAGGGCTGCGTGCAAAATCACCTCAACTCACAACGTAAGCGATAAAACCTATGCCTTAGCCTTAAATGTAACTCCCCAACTATCAACACTACGTGGTACGCCTTACTCGTTGCAAGCTGCTCGCTAGTAAACTTGTGGCCGCAAAGGCGAGCAGCAAGAAAACGATCCCTGCAACTCGTCGGCAGCAACAGCAGCAGTAGTAGCCACATCTCTGGATCAGTCCGTGCAGACTGATCTAATGTCTAAGGCAAACTGTGTAGCTGGCTAGCGACGCAGTAACCCCCGAAAGCCAGCTCTTACTGGTGTGGAGGCATGCAACCCCTCTTAGTTCTCTAAGAGACTGGCGTATGCTCATCTCAAAACGATCCAAATCTGTAGAGGAAATAGCAACAAACCACAGCTACCTGCAACAGCTAGCGGCCCAACCACTAACGCCGGGGCGATTAGGCATGCTACAGTTAGACAAGGTGTGAAACGCCACACTGCAGAGCAAAGAGAGACAAACAAGGTAGACTTAAGCTGCGATCGGCTCACTGCGCTGTTGCACTGAGGGCAAATGCAGTGCCTGCAGAGGCAGGAACTTCTCGTGCTTCGTGTTCTCCATTGTTGGCGGGCAGCAGGAAAAGCACCAAACGCAGAAGCACAAGTAGTCGCCAGTGTCCCCTTGGAGGTCTTAGTCAGATTGGGAAAAGATGGGCCGATAACCCAGTAGGAGCAGAGGCAGTAGCAGATGTGGCGCAGCGGAAACTTTCGGCGGCGCCTTTTCAAAGGCAAGTGGCGATGCAGACAGTGCGTTTCCAAGTAGAAAGTGACGCAAGGATTGCAGGCAATGGAATAATATGGCTGTTCGTGTTCCTGCCGTGGCCGTTGCTCTTCCTTGTGTGATTATTATTGCTGCTGACTCCGCTGACGGCGCTCATGAAGCCTGGCAGCTGCCACAGCCGCTGAGCCTCGGACAGCTTCTGCACGCCAGGTCGCACGATAGAGGACTGACATGCGCCACTAACTCCCCTACGCTTGGTAGTGTTTCTGTTCGACAGAGCGGAGGAATTCGGATAGACATGGGAAGGAGTGCGGTGCTGGTGGAAACGGTACTGCTGCCGCTGCAGTCCGGAGGAAACACGGGGGGAACAGCCAGAAAGTGAGCTTCCAAGGCTTCTGCATTTACTGAGGACTACTAAGCAGCTACTTTTGGCTTCTCTGTCTGCTGCTGCTGCTGCTCCTATGAAGAAGATCTGCGACTGCCGCCAAAGCAGTGTGTCTGGGCCTCTAGGAGAAGCTGCAGCTTTCGTGCCGCAGCTGAAAATTTTGTAGCTGCAAGTTCAAATACTCGCCGCCATTCAGTGTTATCAGTGTATCGACTGCTGCTGCTGCTGCTGTTGATGCTGCTCCTCCTACTGCGGCGCCTTGCTACCTGCTGTTGTTGCTCGTGACAGTGATGTGCTGGATAAAAGCACAAAAACCTTCTTTCAGACCCATTAGAACACAGGTTTCCACTTTGGGGCTCTTGGTTATGAGATTCCCTTGTGCAGCACCAGCAGCAGCAAGCGCTGCTGCTGGTGCTGCTACTGCGAGACTCAGAGGGCTGGGGGCCCCTGGGGCCCCCTAAAATCGCAGGAGCATACGTTGGTGCTTCTTTTTGTGGCACTTCCTAAACCTGCTGATTCGTGAAGTATTTATTCTACTGTTTTTCTGTGTTCAATTTTGAACGCACTCATTGCCCGCGTTGCTTTGCTTCAGGGCTCTGCTGCCACTGCAGCTGCTGCTGTTGCTGCTCCTGGTCTCCTGCTGCCGCTGCCGCTGCTACTGCTGTTGCTGCTCGTGCAGCGGCTTCCCAATGTAAGGCAGCAGCATCGATATCTGCATCTGGCTGTGCCGGTGCGTACTTGACTCCGCGAGCGCATATCACTCCGCGCCGGACTAGCAACAACGGTGGCAGCAGCGGAGACAGCAGTAGTCGAAGCAAGAGTCATACTCTTCGGGTTTGCAATGGGCTCAGTCCAGCATGGAGAAGAGGCTCTCCTGGGCCCTTTGCCGGCCCAGGGCCTCGACGGACCCCGTGAAGGTGCCAGGGTTGATCTTGCCCGTGAGCGTGGGCGAGTCATTTTTATTAAATTTGGATTCATGGCCCTGCTGTTTGTCTGCGCTCTCTGGGCCATGGCCATACTCTATCTCAGTCTTCCCGGTGAGGCACAGGGCGGCTAGTGCTATTTCTGGTTTCAGTGCTGCTGTTACCGAGGCTGTAGCAAATCCTGCTCGCGCTGCGTCTTCTAAGAAAACGTCATTACTCTGCCTTTCCACTTGCTACTATTTTGGCTGCCCCTTTAGATACTAATTCCTTAGACACTTTTTCCAGGTTATATGTGAACACTTTGTGCTTGCTGAGAAGTAGTGGCTGGCTGCTCAGTGCTTCCTGTTTCCTAGGCTGAGCCCTCTCTCTTCAGTTATCATCGATTTTTGGCCTCCCTTTGCTGCGGCTGCAGCAGCATCAACGCATCTGATGTCTCTGCTGCGTGTGCGGGAGCTTTTACGTCGCAGCCTTAGCTGCCTGTGCTCTCAAGGCTACGGCTGCTGTTTATATTGCTGCTGCTGCTGTTGTTGCTGCATGCACAGGACTAACTGAAGAAGCGCGGGCTGAGCTGGAGTCTGTAATCCCGACTTCATTCTCGGATTTAGGTTGTCTGCGAGACATTAAAACACTGAGAAAGCTCTGTGCTGCAATTGGCGTGTACAGGCAGCAGCACCCTGTCGCTCTGGCGTTGTTGCTCTCCTACGTTTATCTTCTTTACCAGGCATTCCCCCTCTTTATGTTCCCCTTTTCTGGTACGACAAGGCCACATACACAAGCCCTGATTGCTAAAAGTTTGAACATAAGCACGTGTTCGCTGGAAAGGCGCGACGCAACTGTTCAGTGTGTTGGTTCCTGTGCCGAAGAACTGCTGTCGAAGTATTGTTTTTTTGTAGTGTTATGGGTTTGGAATTCCAATTTTGGTGGCTGTGGATTTCATTTTGTTGCTTTAATGACAATACAGAGCCGCAGCGCGCCCTTCTCGACTTCTGAAACCATTGCTGGTGGTTTCTGTGTTGCTGCTGCCCCTGCTGTGGCTATTGCCACTACTGCGACTACTGCCACTGCTGTGCGCGTTGCTGCTGATGTTGTTGCTGCAGGCCTTGCGATGGCTGTCACTCTGCTTTTGGGCGCGCTGTACAGTCCACTAGTGGCCTTTAGTTTGGCTTCTGCGCTGTCCGCTATAGGGCCGAGCCTGTCATACTTCCTCTTTAAGGCTGCAGGGAAACCCCTCGTGGTGTGTGTGGATGCGTTTGTCGTTGCTGTCGCCGCTTATTATGCTTTTGCAGAATCGCAGCGCTGACGTATATGTTTTAACGCGGAACTCTTTTATTTTTCAGTGCTTCTCTTGCTAAGTGTCTTGTTTCTTGTTGTGTCTGTGTTTGCTCCCGTCCTTAAACCAGTGACGAAGCAAATCAGACTGTACGTTACTCTTACTGATACCGCTGGTGCAGGTGCGGCTCTTCCCGAACCAGCTGCACCGCATGCGTCAACTGATACATCCCGGGGAAAGCAGCAGTGCCTGTGGCAGTGGCTGCAGCGACGTGACCAGCAGCAGCAGCAACGCTTCCAACGACAAGAGCAGCAGCGCCGCGGTACAGTTGAAGCAGAAGACACAGACAAGTGCAGAGCTACAAGGACAGCATCAGCAGCAACGGGAACAGCGGCAGCAGCATCTCCAACCGCGGCAACACCGACCGCGGGGTGCGTGGGATACGGAGCTGGATCTGATGCTGACTGTTCTATTCCTCAGAGTATCTCCGTTCCCCAATCTCGTCATCAATGCTGCTTGTAAGCGCTGAACCACAGCCTCTGCGTCTGCATGCACCTCTTCTGCCTCTCTTTGTGCTCATTTCATCAAAGGATTTGTGTGTGGTGCTTACGGTTGGTGTTTGCGCCGGGTAGCCACAAGTCCTGAAGTGCTAACCCTAGGCGCTGTTTTTCCTGCCTCCCTGTGTACTTGTTGGTTCTTAGCAGATGAACCGTATTGGTCGTAATTCATATTTTCGGACATTGTGCGGCTTTGTTGTTGCCTACAGCGCCTGTACTTGACGTTCCATTCGGGGCCTTTTTCGTTGCGACATGGCTGGGTTTGATGCCCAACTCAGCTCTTTTTGGCAAGTACTTGGGGGTATAGGGCGTAGGGTTTATGTTTTTCGTGTGAGGCAGACAAACTTGGTCCTTTTAACCATATAGTCATTTTAACCGCATGCGGTTTCTGGCCTCTGAGCGTTGTGCTGATGCAGTCTCAATGGGCTCCGCGTTGGGAAGCCTTGACTCCCTTAGCTCGGGTGAGAAGTTGAGAGCTGCAGCACACACGTAGGAGTAACTAGTTAACAGCAACAAGAACGGCATGCCTTTTTGGAGGTGTTTGATTGAGAGTGCACTGAAACGCTGTCTTTTATGGAGATGCAAGTTCGCGACGCCGATTCATGTAGTCGCTGCAGCTGCAAGCAGCAGCAGCGTGGGCCCTATCAACAGTGTGAATTTAGCGTTTGCTGCTCTCTCAGGCTGGAGGCCACTGGCGGTGTTTGTTTTTGGGGCGTTTGCTGTTGTGCTGCTGAAGACAGCTCTGCGGAAGCTGAGGCCTTCTCACTTGGCCGAGCAGGACGCGCCCACTGTCTCCTAACACAGGAGACAGCAGCACCTGCAGGCTGTTCGAATCAGCGGCTGCTGCAGGCCGTGGCATATGACCTCTCCTGAGCGGCTCTAGCCGGCCTGCGACGGCAAATGTATCAGCACCGCAGCAGCAGCAGTAGAGGTTGTTGCTGCTTCTGGAGCAACTGATTTCGTAGCAGCAGCAGCAAGTTGCAGGTGTTCATAAACTCCATCGTTTGCACGCCATTGACCGGACGACGAGCACTTTACGGGATGACCTCGGCGCAACAGGGATTCGTAGGGTTTTATGCATATCTAGTTGTAGTACTGGAAGCGGCACAAGAAGCGCCGGCAAAGAGTAGTAGCGGTAAAAGTAAAGACCTTCCTCGATAGAATCAAACGGCTACCTACTGGGTGACCCTCACTTAGGCAACCGAAAGTGCATCAACAGCAGGGCAGCCACCTCTAGTAGTGATGGGAAAAGATGCATCCACGAAAGATAGTCACAAAAGAAATGGGACGAAATGACACGCATAGTCAGTTACCAGACGGACAGGAGAACACACGTACAGGCCAAAGACCGCACAGAGGCATAGACAGTAGTAGATGCGGACACTGCCCGGCAGAGAGCGGCATAATGCAAAGAACCCGTGTGCTGCTTTACCAGCGCGGTAGGGCTTGTGTAATGGAGCCCACTGGAGAGGAGCATGCAAGTGGCTGACGCTTTCGCCACCAGACAATCAGTGAACACCGCGTCATCATGCGTGGAGAACAGATCCCATCGCTAGAAGTCTAAATTTTCAGCTCTCCTCTGTAAAGTGCTTGTTACTGTTACCAGTTAGGAACTTACGCTGCTGGTATGGGACATTTAATGGGGACGCTACCCTCAATATAGCGCAGAAACAACCTGCAGGAACTTAAAAATCTGCTTTGAAAAGATACGGCGCAATTGAAATCACCCCACTTGAAGGAATCCTGTTAAATCGCTGCAGACCAGGCAAAGGTTGTCTAGCCTGCTGCACTAGGCCTACGGTTGGGTCTGGAAATACAGTCGAGAAACACGAACGAAGTCTCTCCTCCTGAGGAATCATCCGGCGTTTTAGACCTTCAGAGACAAGGATGAAGCCACGAAAAAGTATTACGTAGTATGGGGTACACTGTGCCCCAGTGGGAATCTGGTCTCTCTTGTTGCGAAAGCCTCTGCTTCCAGCCACAAATGTCTTTGGTAGCGTTCCGCCCTGTTGCTACAGCGCATGGTAGTCTCTACACGCAGTCTTTTGCCCTAGGATGCTCGTCGCCGATAGCTCCAAGGCTAGTCGGTTTAAACGCTGCAGTTGCTTGGTCCTCTCGATTGAACATAACGCAATCCTCGCCTCCTCGTTGCAGCGATCCCGCAGGCGTGTGAATTCCCACCCCAGCGGGCAATGCCCCTGCTTTGGCGCATCTGTGGTGGAGGTTCTGCTGAGTGTCTCTTGTGTGACTTCTTGTGCTCATATCACTTTGGAGGAGGCCTCTAAACTCTACTTGCACTGCTGCGCTGGTTAGCTCCAACTCGCTCGGTCATCTCTTCCATGCCTCTGCTTCTGCAACCCTATTGGCTGTAGTGCATTTTGCATCACGATATCCCGCAGGTGCGTGACTTCCCGCCCAAGCGGGCCATCCCCTGCTTCGGACAATCTGCGGTGTAGGATCTGTTATGTGTCTCTGGCGTACCTCCTGTAGGGATATTCTCGTGTCATGGTGGTCCTTTGTTATAAGCACAGGAGCTGCTGTCTACACTATTCAAGTGGCGTCTCGTGCACCGGACAACCGGGGGGATGTCCCATCGCCTGCGCACATTACAAGCTTCTTGGGTAAGTTCATAAGTAGTAAGCTCTCATGTGTGCGATGCAAGACGCCTAAGAGTCCAGTGGTTAAGACTACTGTAGTATGCACACAACACCCGAACATCCCCCAATCGTGGCAAGCTGGGCACAGATGGATCGAGCTCAGGCCATAGGGGGGTGCAACAGATGAACCAAAGGTGTAAGCTGAGAAAGCGAAACAGCACCAACTAGAGGAGCACGTATTTATTGGAATTCTTGACACAGTGGAGTGCCAAGATTCTAATTGCAAGGGAAAAACTCATGACACCGTTAATGCTGAAGAAGTGAAAGCCAGCCATGGTAAAAGCCCACGCGATACATGAGCAGCTGAACCCCCAGGTGATGATTGTGCAGTGTCGGCATAACAGCTGTGCTTGTTTCTGAGGTGCTCTGACATTGGGGGGACTCATCGATGCAAGTGCACTGCGCACTTTCATTAGTCCGCTCATGCCTGCGGGCGTGTCATTGACACAAAACCTACCATTTCACTGGAGAAAACAACGAGCAACTGCATATTGACGGCTTAGTGACAGAGCTTACTACGTGGCACAGAGAAGAACGCCCATAGCGGAATGCACTATGGGCGCCTCTACCGTAGTATGCCTTCCCAGAGCTAGAATGGCTAATTGAGCATAAGGAAGCTTAGCGCTTTTAGCCCTGCGACACCACATGCATGGTTGATAGTGTGGCCTGCCGGAAAGACGAACAAACGAAGTGAATGAGCAGCGGAACTGCCATCAGTGGACACTGAAACGAATACCGTCGGAGCGAGCCTACGAAATGTTGGCACAACAACTCTCTAGGCTGCAAGCGGTACAAGTGGCTACACTCCTTCACCTTACCCGCAAACAAAAACAAGGGGAGCCGCAAAGTCAAGGATAGGATACTCATTAAGTAACTACATCAGCAGACACAGGACATCATTTCGTTTTTGACGCCTAGCCTTAACACCATGCTGGCTCTACTGAGCGTGGAGTGTCCAGCAGCCATCCACCAGCAAGCGCCAAGGACCTCTACTTGTGCGATTGCAGGGAATCGTAGCTGCGTCCCTATCTCACAAGCCCGCATCGTGTTACCAACCTCCCAAAAAAGCGGCAGGGAGACGAAGGGCTGCCAAAAGCTACTGCCACACTCAGCTATGGCCATCTTGACGAGTTGCTACAATTATACAAGGGCCAGAGGGTTCTCTTGCAGATACGTGAGGTTTCAAAGGAGTATAGAACATTGGTTTGAAACAACTTACCTGTGGGACTACCACCGCGGTGTCCGCATGACAGCTTCATTATTATCACCAGGCCAGCTATTTAACAAGTCCACCATATACCGGATGCTACCAACCCAATTCTCAGGGATAGCTAAGCTGTTAGCTAGTGCCTGAATAGGCTCAGTCTCATCCCCAATCCGTGCATTGATAATAACGGCTGGCGCGTTCGCTGATGGTCCACTCCAGCGGAAAGGGCCCATGACGAGAATGATACATGAAATGCGCCTATGATTGCCGCTGATTCTTCCCCTTCCCCACCCAAGCTTTACTGGAGGTGCTCAAGGGAGCTTAACATCTTTGTGTGCTTTATTTCAAGGCAGGTTTCCCCAGATCTTAGTGACCCAGGAAGGCCCCTGAAAAACAGTCTCTCCCAGTCTTGTGCTTCTTTGAGTATACGGCTATGCACTTCGGCCTCACGGACGTCCCTGCTGTCTCTCAAGCTAACGTTAACACTTAGCTCCAACACGGGGATAGGGTTCTACTGCCCACCTTGTTGACGTGCTGGTGTACAGCTATTACGCATGCTAAGTTCGGGCGGCAAGTACTCAGCATCGGAATGTTAGCTATCCGAGCTAGTCTACCAGCACTAGGGGCATGGAGCCTGCAGCTGGCAAGATACATTCTCCTCACGAGTGGCCAGAAGCATTTACTAATGAGGCAAAAGTATGCCACTTCCCTGGAGCTGTGAGTATTGCCTCATGGTCGTCGGCCTTGGCTAAGCCGGCATGCTCCGGCCTCCTGCAAATCTTACTCCTCATGACGGTTTGCGTAGATGTTAAAACGAAGTAGGAATGGTAAACTAGCGAGCAAGCAAGGGCTTGAATAAAAAGATGAGACGTTCAATATCAGGCAGATAAACTTACATATTGCCAACGCTGCATGAAAGGCACTATTGGTACAGCAGTAGAACGTGAGAACTTACAACAGCACGGCAGGACATTTTGTGGCAACATGATTGATGAACACGGTGGAGACAATTTGTCAGCAGTCTTTCTGGAAGCGAAAACAAAGGCCATTTTTACGAAACACACAGAAGCAGGCGAGCAGCACAAGCATAGCAGCATACACACACCAGCATTAACAGAATAGGCAGAACCCACCGCAAAGATGGCAACGACGGCCCGCGTGAAGGTTCTGTAGTGCACAGGCACTACAATGGCGTTTGCTGGTGACCTTAAGAGGGTAGCTAGCTGGTGACCTATAGGAGGTTAGCACGGAAAGCGAGCGCAGAAACTTCTTACTGGTAACGAAGTAGGGCACTTTGTCAGAAAGATAGCATGCGTAAACTAGAAGTGTCTGCCAATACCCTCATATTGGGGCTGGCGATGACGCCGGCACGCTGCGGGCACCACCCCAACCGGGTCATGTGTTCAAGAACTATGCTTCGGCGACTTTTCAAGAAAGTTCGATTCATAGACTCGGGAGATGGCGGGTTATTAATCATTCGGTACTGTTTTATGAGATACGTGTGCCATGTAGAGGATTTGTCAGAAGGGCGCCCTATTCATGCGCCAGGTGGTAACGTAGTAGCAACAAAGAGCTCTGTGCACTGCATTTTGGGGCTGCTCATGGATTTAACTATTTTTCATTTCCAGGCCTAGGAGTAGTAATACCTGCAATATTTACCTAAATGATTCACACACACACGGCTCGGTAACGGGTGCATTTGCGCAAAGGGTGCATTATCAGCCCACCTCAACAGGAGGCGTCTGTAATTTCCTTAAGCAGAATACCCAGCGGGCAACCGGTTCAGAACCGTCATGCTACTCCGAAACCCACCGCAGCAGAGCGGCCGCATGAGCATAAGGAGGCGCCCCCGCAGATGGCACCTATACCCAATGCTGCCGGCCTACCAGCGGACAGTCCGCACATTACGCGGGACCAACTGTATTCCGCGATTGCTGTGATGAATAATGCTATGAGGATGCCCTGGGAATAGTGCGCAACGTTCCCCATACTTCCTTAAGACTCCAGCACTATGCAAGCCTTTTTGTTGCGCATCGAACGACGGTACACTCAGTTGGGATTAAAGCCGCGTAACTGGGGGACCGCGCTTATCGACCACCTTGTGGGCCGAGCCCTGACTTACTGGATGTATTTGCGGCGGAATAACGACCTAAGCAACTGGGAGATGGTACAGCGCAGGCTTTTGACGCGGTTTGACGAAACATTGTAGCAGAGTCTGCGTTCCATTCCTCAAATATAAACGCCTGAAAAAAGATATTAACAGCGGAATGCTACAACCGGCTACGAATAGCTAGAACGGCTTCGCTGATTTGTTGTGCTTTGTTAGCAGATATACCACAAAAGGGCCAGGACCTGGGAAAGGCAGGAGCTGAAGCTAGCAGCGAGGGAGATTATTTATTTTGGTGGTGGTGCGAAGCGGCCAGGACAGATGTATAAGTATGCCCGCCATCATATAGTTTCACTTGAGTCATCGAACTTCACCATGTTTCTGAGACTTTTCTGTAGCTGCTGCAGAGTAAACAAGTTACTATTTGGGTAGTGGGTACCGTCCGAAGCAGTCCGCCTGCCTGTCAAGTAGCAGAGTATTGGGACGGTTTTGACAATATGTCAGCACCTCGGTTCTCTATGTTTTTTCACTTGCCTTATTGAGATATCTCGAAGCTCCTTGGGGAATTCAAACCACCCAGTGGCTAATTGTGGCACTGAATGCATACAACAGCTGTATGCGAGAGAGATTTTCGTGGTCCATGCATCCCGCAGCCTTGGCGGCATAACGCCGCCAAGGCTGCTACTTGACAGGCAAGCGGACTGCTTCGGACGGTACCCACTACCCAAATAGTAACTTGTTTACCCTGCATCAGCTACAGAAAAGTCTCACGATATAGTGCACAGCGCTCTCTGCTGCTACTACGTATGTTGGTACCTGGCCCACGAATAGGGCGCCCTTTGACAAACCCTCTGCATTCGACTCATATCTCATGAAGCAAATACCAAAATATCAATAAAAGCAGTCATCTTTCAAGTTCTCAATCCAACATTGCTAAAAGCCGCACCCTCATAGCTCTTGCTTCCTTGGCCAGGTTGGGGCGGCGCCCCGCACCGGTGCCAGCGTTAGAGACAGCCCCTATCTTATGGTATTTACAGGCATCGCCAATTTAAACATGCTGTCTTTCTAATAAAATGCCTTAATTAGTGCCTGCGCACTACATGTGTGCTCTAGTCTGAAAAATTCCTCACGCACATGCTCAGCGTCCATTGGCATCAAATTGCCCCAGAACGCATGGAAAGGAAGATTATTTTTGTGCTTTTTTAAATTTTATCAGTGGAGGGTTTGCAAGCATAAAATACTACGTGTACTGCACTGACTGTAATGTCTTGTTGCTGAGGCACTGAAGCGAAAACCTGCCAGTCCTCTTTATCCGCCTGTCATTCCCTGTAGACGCTGCAGTCACGCCAACGACATCAAGCTATCGACGTTTCGTTCGCAGGGAAAGAATGGACACTTATGCTTCTTCAAGTTTTCACCAAAACGGCCTACTCTATTCCCACAGGAAAAAAACACCGACTGCAGCGGGCATTGTCAAATTCCTTTCTAGCAGATTTATTTGCTCATAAGGTCACTGTGAAGCGCTGACTTTTGAGAAGACAACATTAAGAGAAAAACGTCAAATACTTCAGTCACTCAAGGCGGCTAAAGCTGTCCGGAGAGCGTTTGCGGCAGGCTGCTCGCGTGCCGTCTTTCACCGCTGCTATACTTTAAAAGTCTAGATAATTCGAACGCGGATGAGCGCAGGCTAGGTTGAGGTTGCAAGTAAGTGCTGTTTGGACTGGCATACTGGAGTGCCGGCTGCAAACTGTACTCGCCGTGGCAACTGAGAAAGCGTGATCAAGCCATGTGGAGTACCTCCCGGGTTGCTCCTGCATTGCATGCAGGTATAAAATATTCGCTGTCTGCCGTACTGGATGGACGCATGTAAGTGAGGCTGAGGGACGGAGGCAGTCCTGGTCTCATTCATTTTATTACTCCCTGCCAGTCCCACACCACTTGCTCGGCACAGGCAACGAGCGCGGAATAGATTTGTTATTCTTCCCAGGACGACGGTCTCGACCACAGTCGCAATCCCTGTATGTCAAACTGAAACGAAACAGTGGTCAAGCGCTCCGTAGATAGGTGCCCACGGCGTTGCCGTATGCATGCTCAGTTTCCAGTAATGCTACAGGGATAGGAGAATTCCAAACTTTCTCGTCACATTGCTTTAGTGGAGGCTGTGTCCCCTCCGTTCCCTTCCAGCGAGCAGCCATGATAAATGCTCAGCGCCAAAAACTACCTTTGCTGCAACTGGCTAAGCGTACAACGTACAATGACGCCTTCAGGCAAAGGGAGGCGCTACACTGCGCAGAAAAAATACACCTTCAGTACTCAAACTTAGCAAAAGCCGCAGGAACTTCACAAACGTCGCATAGACTGGTGCATGGGGCTGTACACAGCACATGTCTCATTCACAGAGGAATAGGCGTTTTTGTGAGAAGCTAAGGGGCGCTGCATGTGACAAGCTGCAACAGCCCAACCAGCTGCAGCTGGTGAGCTTAGCAGGTGAGTTCCGTTCCGGGACCTCGTGTCTCTTTTCGCATGTGCAAAACTCACGGAAGTGTCCACCAGCCTCAAAGCTGAAACTTGATTACGGAGACATGAACTCGTTTTGCCTTTAAAAGCAAACATAAAACAAACGCTAACACGAACAACACCCACACGGCAAAACCCAAGGAGAGGGCGAGCAGGCTTCCCAATACAAACGCCACATTGAAGCAAGGGGCTTGCAACTGCATAATTCATAAACGTTGATTTGTACATAAATCACAAGACAGTGGCACCACAGAAGGCAGAATGCTGCGCCCCCAGATGAAAGGTACTGGACCCCCACATCAGTTGGGGGGCCCAGCTCCAGTCACAGCTACAGCATGGTGGCAACTGCTATTATGTTCGAGTTAGAGGAAAATGGGGATATATTTGATAATCACATAAATAAACGCTCTTGTACTTAAGCAGAAGACTTTCACGGGGACGCTTCTTTGCGCGTGAAAACCGAGCGTTCTTGGTGCTGTTGCTGCAGCTGTTTTGAGTCGAGTGGATATGCACCTCACTGCCCGCTAGAGACGATCCTCTTTATTCTTTAGAAGCACATGTCCCAATCTGTGATACATCTGGCCCAAAGATACAGCTGCAACAGCTACAAGAACGGAAACGGCCACAACCACAGCCGGTGAGGCAGCACATCGTGATCTTTCCTGCTCACATATAAGCCTGCTGTGTGCACCTGCTGTCGCAGCTCCCATTGCCTTACCATCCAACCCCTTTATTATTAATTTAGCAGAAACGGGATTCCGTGTAGTGGGCGACCCAGTGCACTTTTCGCTAGGGTCACCTTCAATGCAGCGCTGCAACACCAGCTGCTGGCGCAACATTGGCTGCCTCTGATGCTGCGGAGGTGGCAGCGTATCCTGATGGAGCTATGAAGGCAGTACAGGAAAGCGCGCGCGGATGCTCGCAGCAGAAACGGGACAACTCGGCAAAAATACTACTTGCTTACTGAACAGGAGGGAACAGCTCCAGGTGCTGCGGAGCTCTTTGGACAGCTAAATTGAAGCTGTGTCGGCGTACGCCGACAGCGCAGCGCAAGTAGCATAGCACAACGCAACCGACAGGAGCAGCAGCGACAACACGAGCAGCAGCTTATGTAGGAGGCAGCGAGCTGCTGAGGATGTGGCAGGGACAGCACTCGTGGGTGGAGGACGAACACGGGTGGCTGCAAAAGCAAATTACAGCAACAAGAGACTCGGAAACAGGACTTGCACGCGAAGATGTGGGAGTGCTACGACAGCAACATGTTCTGCAGAAGCATCAGCAGCTAACACAGCCTGATGCTGGCGCGGAAGACGAGCTGTTCTGCGATAATGATGACGAGGGGGAAGAGCAACTGCATCAACAGCAATTCCAGCTTCAAAAGCAGCAAGCAATTGAGAACCCGTTGAGTTCTGCCTCGAAAGGTGGCGGCTTGTTGGGATTGTCGGCCTTGAACAAGCGAATAATCCGCGTTAAAGATGAAATCAGAAAGCGAGAGGGAACGCATCTGCAGCAGCAGCGACAGCGGGAGCAAGATCGAGGTGCCTTAAGCTGCTGCAACGCACTTTTTGCTGGGCAGCCACAAGATTCCCGACGCAGTGAAGGGGGACCGAAGAGAGAACAGCAGGGGTCGTGGCAGCCAACATCACAACAGAACGAGCATCACCAGCAGCTGCAAGGTGAGGACGCCCGGGAGGTACTGCACTTGGCTCGTCTTGTTGAGGAACATCAGATACTTCGGGCTACGGAACAGGAACAGCTGCAACAGATGAAGGTCACGCAGCAAGAGTGCAACCGAATCATCGTAGACAGAGCATTTCTCAAGTGGGAGCTGCTAGAGGCAGCAATGCAGCAAGACGACACGGCGCGGCAGCAGCAGCATCAGCTTACGCTGCAGCTACTGCAGCAGTTTCTCGACAGACGCAGAAGTGAAACTATCAAGCAGCAACCTGACCAGGAACCGACCCACCAGCATCGCATGCAATCAGTGAGCCTGCAACGAGAACCAACAGCAACAATTGTTGCTGCCGTTCAGCAGCGAGCCCTGTGGCCATCGATTGGCACCAACAAAAGCAATACGAGAACAGTCTCACAAGTTTGCAGCAGCTCCGTAAGCAGCAACAGTTGCCACCGCAGCAGCAGCAGCAGTGCCAGCAGCAGCAGTTACAGAAGTGCTACGAACAGCAGAGGCAGCAGCGTGCCAATGCTTTCGCGCGCGGTACAGGCAAGGGGCCGTCTCCAAGGCTCACATACATTCAAAAGTGGGGAGCTCCACACCCCTCGGCATCACCACCGGTCGTTGCGGGCGGCTGCCGTTGCTGCCGCTGCCGCTGTTGCTGCCGCTGCTGCTGCCACAGTAGGTCACAAAGCTTCCACTAAAAGAGCGGGTCCCCCGCTTCTGGAAGAGTCTCATAACAAAAAGCATATGAGGAACCGATCAAACGCTAATCAGGAGCGGAGCTACCTGCAGCAACAGTGCCAGCAGCAGGCACAGCAGCAGCGCCTTTTGACAGTGAAGAGAGAACAGCATCACCACCAGCAGTATTCGCAACAGAGGGCGCAGTTGTTGCAACAGCAGCAACAGAAGCGTGAGGGTACGCAACACAACGCGCTGCAGCACCCCCGTAAACTCACTCAAAAACAGCTACAACAAAGAACACAAGCCCTCATGGCGGCCCGGCAAGCTCTCAGGAGAAAGAAGCAGGCCACCTTGTCTGGTGAAGGAAGCAGCAACAGTAGCAGCAACAGCAGCACCACAATCTCAACCAACAACAGCAGCAGTAACAAGATTGCCAAACAATGGGAGGAAAGACTAGCAGTGAGTTGTGGAAGCGCCAGCGCCAAAGACGATCCAACAGCTACTGGTAGTGTGCGAGCTGCATCTATTTCTCCTACGCCCCCAGACACACAAGTGCTCTTGTGCTTCTGCTCTTGTTTTTGTTGCCCGTGCAGCGGCATCGGAAACACATGCTCCAATCCCTCCTGCCCATCCGTGAGCAACCTGTGGCCGAATGTCGTTTACCAAATAACCCCGCTACCGTGGAGACGAATTCAAATTCCTGCAGCGCGAGAGCACCAGAACCTGAAGCAGCAACAACAGTCGGAATTTCTGCCGCGGCAGCATCAGCAACGGAGGCTGGAGACGCGGCAGATGATGAGACTGCTGTATCAGCTAAGACGCAGATGCGCTTTGGGGTTGCTGCACTGCAGTTAAGCACTGTGAGCACCATAAAGGAGGCTCTGGGCCCCACAGCTCGGAACGTCTTCATGGCAATGCAGCGCCTCGACATGCTGACGCGCCCTGCAGGTACACCTATGCCAAAGCCACAGTTGCAGTACGTGCGATCGAGTTGGGGTCCAACACCAAAACACATCCAAGCCGAGGTCCTTCAGGTTGTTCATGTGAGCACAGCAAAATCGGACAAATTTTCCGCGGTGCTACTGCCGTATTCTGGCTGCTGGTGTTGTAGTATTTCTGGCAGTGAGGGGCTCCTTTGGTAGTAGTTTGCATTGGCGCTAGTTCTGCTCGGCTAGAGATGCTGTTTTTGCAGACACGTTTGTGGAGTCGGCTACCTATCTTCTTCTGCGTGCCTGAGGTTCGCCTGGCCGCAGTGGCCGATGCCTGTCACCCAATAAGTAAACTTACTTCCTTCACAGGAGAAAGATTCACAAGGCCAGGAGAACGGATTTGGGTCTTCGGCTCACCCTACCCCGTGGCAGTCTGGGTCGGATCCCCGATCAAGGTGACTGGCGCGGCTGCTGTTTTTGGGGTTCATCATCTGTATTGCTAAGGCGTCCGTATTGCTGTTGCTGAAGGTGCTGCTGCTGGCCACACATTTTTGCCTTTCCTGAGCTTGCGCACTACACAGAGCCTGCAGTCCAACGTTGGTGTACGTGCAGTGTTGCATATTACTTGGTTCTATGTGTGTTGGTGTAGAAAGGCGAGTTTAAGATCTTTGGGATTCGAGCCGGGGAATTTCTTACTCCTGCAGAAGGGGCCGAGGCGGCTAAGGCCCTGCAGCCAACGGGACAGTACGACAGCATTAGGACTTGCGACATTTACGTGAGATTTGCCCCCATGAGGAGGCTGCTGCTGCTGCTGGTACTTGTTGGGTGTTTCTGCCGCCCCTCGTGGCAATTGATGAACCAGAGCCCTGAGTAGGCTTATGTGGGACTTTCGCGGCTCAACGAAGCCACTAGCCCCACGCACCGTCAGCTATATGTGTCTGTATCTGAATCTTTGCTGCAGCCGGACGCCTCAGACGCCAGCGGGCAGTGGCAGCGCAAGGTATGTGATGCTCTTCGTCTGGCGGGTGTTAGCAGTGATCCACGGGAGAAAGAGTTCAGCGCGAAGCGCTTTTCGCATGGCTGCAGCGACTGCGGCACGGTACCATTTGTGGCAGTCCCCTACATGGGCTTAGAGTTCTCCTCTATACGCAGAGCCTGCCCCCTTGCTTTTGTCCAGCATACGGGTGGGTTCTGAGTTACTGGTCTGGACTGGTGCATGCACACTGCCGTTTCGCTTCATCTTTTTTTGCTTTTAGGACCTCATCTTGGATAATGTGGCTGCTTCTTGTCAGTCTTCTGCTGGTGTTATTGGGCTTGTAGTTCATGCGTCTGTGGGTCATGCAGGGGAACGCCTGCTGAACTCTGATTTGTTGAGGAGCCCGTGGACAAAGTGGCGCCGCCAGCGTGAAACTGTCTGTGTACACCAAGTGCTGGTAAACGGACTGCCGCTCTACCTTTACTCGAACAATCCGCAGGTGAAACCTCTTTGGCGCATGTTCTTGCCACTGTTGTTCTTGCCTTCGATGTTGCTTTCAAGTTTTCTGGCTTGCTGCAACGGTGAGGCTGTTGCAAGCAACGCATCGTGGATTGTGTGCGTGGTATTGATTTTGGCGGGCCTGCGCTGCAGGAGTCTCTAACAACTGGGGATGAGTTGTGTCTAAACATGCTGAAGTTTCCCGGTTTCCTGACGGACACATTTTTGGCGACATTGGGTTTGATAAAGAGGCGTCGCGCAAACGCAGAGAGCGTGCTAGAGAACCTACGGCTGCAGGGCTACACATCTCCTCAGTGGCTACAGCGGTGTTTGCTACTGAGGTACCCCCTGAACTACGAAGATATATGCTCTAGGGGTTCGATGGAGACTGTTCGCCTGCTGGAGCTTGTTTCCAGGCACAACACTGAAGGGCCGCGCAGCGTTACGTTGGCCAGTCGCCTAGGCCTGACTAGCGGGCCCGGCAATAGAGAGCCATCCAGCATTAACATCTCCCCGCGCACGGGTCTAACGTGCTTTATGCAGTGGCACGTATCTCATGACAGCTCATTCAGAGAAGAAATAGAATCGCTTTTAGCAAGGGAAGCCTCTCTGCCCCTTTGCAGCTGCCCCAGCAGCATTAAACTAAGACGGGTTGCGCTGCGGCTGCTGCATCTTCCGGAGGCGTATGCCAGTCTTCCACCCCACGAGCTGGGTCCTCTGCTCGAAAGCCACTGGGTCGTGGTAGAGGGCGCAGCTAAAGAGGCAGAAGGTGCATGTGTTATGCAGAGACTTCTGCGGGCACGGGACTGTTGTCGCCAGTGTTACAAAACACACCCTGTGGCGAAAGCCTTTCCTAGCATGGGATGGCGGTACAGATATCCCTTAGAGCGGGGAGATGTGTCAAATAACAAGCCATAATTGTCTTTGTCAATTCAGTGGGCAACGGGGGCTCCTGGCCACTTCGGGGCAAAGGAGAGCGTGCCCGTCCTGCCATGTGGAGGGCGTCAGCAGGCAACACGAGCACGGTATCAAAGTAGCTAAATTCATTCTATTCACTGCAGCTTCGAGGACAGCTGGTTTCACTAACGCTTCGAGTCTTGAAGATGGGAGGCAGTACATCAGCTGCAGAAGTAGGACCTCAGCACTAACAGGGATCACCAGAACTCGTTCTGACTCTGCGAATATCCGAGTAAACGTGCAGTACCATGCTTCAGTTTGCATGCTGCACGTCACTTTGTTACCTACTGCACTAGCTTTGTCGTCGCTAACGGACTTGTAAGCCTGGTTGCTTCAGGTGTAAACGAAAATTTCCCGTTGCTACTTCCCTAGTATTAATACGAGAAACACGACAACAGAGTCGACTGCAAACTCAATGCCAGTTAATGGCACGACAACTAGTGCCGTGAGTAGCGTGTTTGTGATTCTCTAGGTGTCACTTCTTAATCTATCGCTGCCCACAGTTGCTAAATACGTATGTGTTGGCACTGTGGCTTCTTCTCAGAGTCCTAGAATGCGCCTGAAGATAGCCACGAAGGCGGTAAAGCTGCGCTTGCCACAGCAGGCAGAAGGTAACTTCAGGCCATCAGAGCGGAGCGACTGCTCTTGTGTTCTTGCCTTAGTTGTACTTCAGCCTGAAGTAAAGTGTGCCCTTTACCATGAGCCACTTTAATACCTAACGACCGGATATGCCGTCAGAACGGGTCAGTACAACAAAGCGCGATTGAACGTGAGCAAGGATTTAAGCTCATTGCGAAAGTCGCCGCTCAGCAATGGTGTACCTTGCCTATTTTGTAGGCTGAGCTGGCTCCAATGCTGTGGCGCTTTCTTTCTGTAGCCGCAGCCCTAACCAGGGTACGCTGCCAAAACCCATCTGATGTCCGATATACAATCCGGTGACAACTGGTTTGTAAATGAGATGGCTAGAGCATAAGCGGTTACACGAAACTGATCAGGCTACCTGATTGCTTTCAGGGAGTGCACGGGACCGCGGATGACTGCTCCGTGTCGGTCATAACCGCATTTAATAAGATTTAGCTCTGTCAGCTTTCGGCCCCATTTGAGTAGTGTTTAATAGAACTTTTGCAATGCTACGGCACTCCCGTATGCACAGGCCACATGATGCCTTAGGCGTAGCCATATTCCCACAGGCAACAATTACGGAAAATTTTAAGGAACCTGATAAATGAACCAGGCTGTTTGGGCCTTACTGAATAATACCTGAGTGGAACAGTAGCACAGGGAAGGGTCATAACTATCGCAAAGGTGCTCAGAAGATCCTTTACTCCATTTAGCATCAATGCTTGCCTTGTATCTATAGCTCTTCACATTCACAGGCAGGGTGGCTGGGACATTAGTTGCGGCCTCTGCGTACCGGGGCAGAACAAAGTATTCACTGTTCTGCAGCTGGTGGTCATTTGTGCGGAGGACGCATTGCCCAAATTTCTATAAAGGTACTGCTTTAGAGTATTCGTGGCCTCCCATATGGCCTTACATTAAACGCCTCAAGGTCCCTGCTCTGCCAGTTCTCCTTAGCTGACTCACCAGATCTTCCAGAGCTTACATAGGCGGTTAGAACTTATTTGGCTGCTTGAAGCTAGTTTCGCAGTTAGCCTACGCCGGCAGCAATCCGCAGAGAGCTTTCAGCCCACTGCCTAAAGCACTGTAGCCTATAGCGATCAGGCACTGAGTTTGCCGAAAGAGCCTATAATTATTTGACTTCTTCTTGCAGGAGTTATGATTGAGCCAGTTGGGTTCGACATCCCCAGTCATGCAGCCCGCGCCCAGCGGGCTCTCGATACGCGGAACTAGTATCGACGCTTCTTTACTAATCAATCCTTGGGTTCATTCTATTGATTACAATTTATTAACCCATTGGTCCAGCTTTATTTTGTTGCGTGTCGCTGTCAACCACCAGTGGCCTCAGAAGGCGACGTTGTAGTGCCGCACATTGCAATGGAGCACGAAAGCAGCCGTGGAATGCTACATTAATAAAAATGGACGTAATTCATGAGCATATGTGCATAACCTGCTCAGAGCAAACAAGTTTCGAAGAGGGATTCTACCTGCAAGCTCTGGAAACTTCTCAGGGGAATAGGCCTAGAAGCGACCCTTTTGCCGTTTGGGAATCTTCGAACAAAATGGCCTTCCGCTTTTTTTATATAGCTCAGTTTTATTCCTGTGTGTTTCAGAGCCCATAGCTCTTTTATATTTAATGGATGCCACTGTTTGATTGTTTGTAGTCTTCGCGTGGAATGTCAAAAAAGCTTCTCTATCAACCGGGAATATTGGAAACAGTTCACCAACCAGGCGGGGCTCGGTGAAGCGAGGGTCCGTTAACTCCCTTATTCTAGTCTTAAACAGCTGCTCACACTAGAACGACATCTTAGGCCTGGGGCAAATATGCGCTGTCAGAGTGGCATAAGCAACTGCGCATACGCAAATACGGAAGCGTCAAACGAGCGCGCATAGAGCCTACACCAGAGATTTCTACAAAAAAGAGCGACTACAGCTACCGCAGTCACCGCAAGTTACCGAGCCAACCAACCCGAAGAAAAAAATTCAATGAGGCGCGGGAAATGCATAAGCGACGGGGTCGTACAATGACGCCCCCACTGTAGGGCACAAGCACTACAGTGGTTCCCCAGTGAGCACATAGTAAGCTTTTCCGTGAAATACATTTAGGGGAGAGATAGAGCCCACCAGCTATGAGCGCCAACCGGCTAGGAGCGCCAGCCGGAGTGCTAGCAGGCAAGGAGCGACAACCGCCTTTCAGGATTTCGCGGCTAACTGAGTTGCTGAGAGACCAACGCACATTAGGAGGTCAGAATCAGGGGGAAGCTCTTTCGTAGTCTCCCTTTTTATGGAAAAAGAGACGTGAAACATGATTTGAGGTTAATTGTGGGGATTTAGGAAGTTTGTCGGGGTGCTCGCCGCAGAGAAGCACTTAGGTCTCTACGTAGTGGCAGCAGTGAGCCCGCTCACGTATTATACCCATTCTTCAGGAACAGTGCTGTAGCTGTTTAACAAACACGCCTTGCTTAGTAAGTGCCCACAGAGATGGAACTTCCACGAAGAATGCGCAAAGAAGTGCGCATGTCCATCAAAATTTAACAGCACAACAACTTTTGAGTCATGAAAACCGTACTAGGCAATGCAAATATACGCTTTACCAGTGTAAAAATAGCTTGTAGCCGATAGGGGAGGGAGCTGGCTTGTAGTGCGTAGCGCCTACTGCTGCGACTACGCTCCTACCTGCCCCTCGAGCAGGCCTACAAACTACACCTAGCGTAGGCCCATTTCCTGGAAACTGTAGCTTAATTTCATCGAAATACAATAATTCCTAAGTGTTTCAAAATCTGTCTGTTCGATTCGCCCCACTCTGGGAGCTCGCCTCCTAGTCCCTATGGGGAGGAGGCCAGCACTCGTGCCGGCGCTATCGCCAGTCCCAGTTTCCACACAACTTCCACACATTTCACGTATGCATTTTAACTCATAGACAATTTTCCTTACTTTTATCCTAGTAGGAGGGTCCTGTCCTCCTCCAGTGGTGCGACCCCTTGTAGGTCGCTAGCTAGCTATTGTCTCTAGGACACTAGCAAGCCCTATTGTATTGCCTGTGCACTACAACTTCCCCCTTTGCCGGACTGGAGAGACCTACCCCAAAACACATTATTTTTGCCTTTTGAATCTCTGTGCTCTTCTAAAGCTGACGTCGTGATCGCATGCGGTGCGCAGCGCTCCCAACTCCTCATTGAAGGGTGTAGCCGGTGGAATATGACGGACCCATACGTCCACGCCTCGGAAGGACCAATCTTGTTTCGAGCCTGAAGACGTCTTCGTTGGCGGCGGCGCCAAGCGCGAAGCAAAGCCGGGTAGCCTGTAAGGTGGTGAGCTGGCTCCCATGTGGCTTGATCTTCAGGGGTCCCGCGCCACTTCACGAAGTACTGAACTGCATCTCCCGAGCCGCGTTGGTCCATAATATAGTCGACTTCGTATTCATCTGTGGGATTGCCTGCTGCATCATGGATAGGAGGCCAGGCGGCGTCGGCTGCCGAGAGAACCAAAGCGGGAGGTCGGGGGCGGTGGGGAACTAGCTGCGAGACGTGGAAAACGTTATGGCATTCATAAGTGGGAGGCAGAGCGAGATGGTAAGCGACAGTTCGTATGCGTTCGATGACTTCGAAGGGTCCGCGGTAACGGGGCTCTAACTTTGGGCAGCTGTTGAAAGGCGGTAGGTGCTTGCTGCTGAGCTAGACCTTGTCTCCCACCGCATACTCCACTGCTCGGCGCTTTGTGTCTGCGTATTCCTTCTGCTGCCATTTTGCCTTCAGGATGTGACTCTGTGCTCTGTGGCAGAGCTGCCGGAGAAGCTTAGTCATTGGAGGAGTGAGCGTAGGAGCTAACGCGCCTACGATATCAAGGTCCGCAGCAGTCAACGGGCTCTCTCCAATCATGACCTCGAAAGGAGAGAGCTCAGTGGGTGAATGACTTGTTGTGTTGTAGGCAAGTTCCAAGGCCGGAAGCAATCGCTTCCACTCGCATTCGTCAGATTTGATATATGTACGAAGCATCTGCTCCAGTGTGCGGTTAACCCGTTCAGTTTGGCCGTCGCTTTGGGGACGGTAGTACGAGGACATGCACCGTTTGATGTTAAAGCGGCAACAGAGCTGGTTCCAAAGATCCGACTGGAAACGGGGGTCTCGATCCGATATGAGCACCTCTGGAAAACCGTGTTAGCGGATAAGGCGGTCTGCGAGAAGCTCCACGGTGTCTGCTGCTGTGAATGACTTCTTTGCAGGAACGAAATGAGCCATCTTGCTGAGGGAGTCGACCATGACAAGAATCGAGTCGTGCCCTGTCGCTGTAAGGGGAAGATCTGTGATAAACTCGAGACTCACTTGCGCCCATCGACGAGAAGGGATGAGCAACTGTTGAAGAAGGCCTGCAGGCTTCTGGCTAAGAGACTTTGACGCTCGACAGTGGGTACAAGACTCAACATAAGCAGTAGTGTAGGCGCGCATTCCTGGCCAGTAGTAGTGCTTGCTGAGAGCCGCAAAGGTCTTCTTCTGGCCTCGATGGCCGGCTGTGACATGGTCGTGATGTGAATGCAGAACGTGAGTAAGGAACTCAGGGAATTGTGGGACGCAGATGCGCCACAATCCATGAACGCCGATGTGCAGTTAGGGCTCTACGTAGCGAAAGGTAAATTGGCGATTACAAAATCGATTTGCAGAGCTTCTCCTGGTTGGTTTGCTGCGGCTTTGTAGGGAACGCGAAAAACAGGACACTTCGAGTAAGCTTGCGGCCAATGGCGCACATCAGGAGGGTCAGCTCGTGGCTTCGTTGTGAGTGTAGGATGTTCCGCCTCTGGTTTGGGTTCCGGCGGCGAAGGTGAAGGCGCAGACGGCATGCTGCGTCGTCTAGGTCGTCGCGAACGAATTCCGGCGAGCTCCCTGTAGTTGGGAGGCCGACCACGAGAGCGGGGAGCCGCGCGCGCTTGTCCTATTGCGAGCATCAGTGGTACCGATGGTGTGTCGTTCGAGCAGGTGTTAGGAAGGCCAGGATGGCGAGACAAGGCGTCGGCAACTTGATTGCGCGCGCCTTGAACATATCCGGGAGCTCCGCAAGAAAGTCTAGCCACCGGGCGGTGCGTCCGCGCAGACGCTTCGATGCTTGGAGTCGTTGGAGATGGGTGAGAGCTTGATGATCAGTGTAGTGCCAGGCACTACAATTGACCTTCGTCGCCACCCCTCGAGGCTTAATAACGCGAAAAGGCATGAATAATATAGAATATTTTAAGGCATAAGGAACCATTGGATATTGGGAAATCATAAAAGGGAATAGTGTGCTCGCTAGCCAGCACCGGGTATGGGGCTGGACGCGAGGTTGGTGCCGCGGCTCAGGCACTGACCCTCAGCGACGGTCAACACTCAGTTCTATTATTCTGGGTTTTTCTTACCTTTTAATAATATGAACTCAATTGTATATGGCTAATTATGGTATTCAGTAGTGGTTGGCGAGAATCATGGACTTTAGACAGCAAGCGCAGAGTGTGCACTTAAGTCAGACTTGCCCAGGGACCATACGTAGTAACAGTGCAGGCCAGCTGTTCACTACATTTGGGGGCTGTTCCGGGATATAAAATTTAAACTAAATTGAGAAATTATTGAGCTTGCTCTACAGGGGAAGATCCTTTCCTTTCGCTCTCGCAAATTCCGAAGTGACCTCTGCACCTAGGTGAAGACGGGGATGGACATGCACCTACGCAACGGAAAAGTGGTATAACCTTCACCAGACACGAACGCAGGAATGCCGAATATAGTTGTATCAGGCAAAGAAACCGCGGAGCACCCTATTGAATCGAAACGAACAGAACCCGGTCGCGGCATCAGCCAGTCCATCGCGGGGGTAGGCCGACCGATACCGAGAAACCGGGACCGCGACGTTGGAGGACGCAAGGAACCCGAAATGAATCAAGCTTGGATGGAACCGGGAATGGCCGAGTTTTTTCGGCAATTCGCATCTCAGATGGCATGGGGGTTAGTGCATACGCCCCAGAGGTCCATTGGGCACGAGGACGGCAAGAATATGAGGAATTTCCTCGACCTTGTGGAGTTAGAGTTCATCGAACGAGGGCTGGAGGAGCGGCAGTGGGGACAAGAACTCAAAAGATATCTGACGGGCGACGCCTTGGGTTACTGGTTGTATCTGCGTCGCACGGGAGTACTCCTGACTGATTGGGAGCAACTGAGACAGCGATTCTGTGCGCAATTCTGTAACATAACAAAGGAACGGATGAAAGTCATGATAGCGGAGAATGTATGGAGGGGCGATCACCACGCATACTCTGCGCGCTTTGCGGCTATCGTGGCCCAAGGGGTATCGGTGGCACCAGACCTGTTGGTGGGTTACTATTTGGCCAACCTGCCGGATGAAAAATACCGAGAGATAACTCAAGGGGGAACAAGGAAATTCGCGGACTGGCAGGAAGCAGCCGCAGCACTGGCTACCACGGCGGCACCGTGGAGGGATTCATGCGAAGATCGCCTCCGATTCCAGCGGGACTTAGAGGATGCCAAGCGTAGATGGGCTAACGGAGGGCGAGAGCCGGGCCCACAACGCGAACGAGCGAGCAGGGAAAACAGACGGAATGACACTACGGACTCACGCTGTTACGCGTGCAGCAAAAGGGGACATGTGAGCAGGGACTGTCCGCTCCGCAATGGAGCGACGCGACGGATTGGGGAAACGTGCTCCAGGTGTGGGGGCCGGGATCACTACGCTAGAGACTGTCCTACGTCGGCTCGACCCAGAGCAGAGCCCGTCAGGCAGCACAGACAGCAGCCAACGCGGCCCAACGTCGACCAATCGGGGCATTTGAACGGACGAGCCTAGCCGTTAAGGGAGACGAGCGTGCTAGGCGGACTAGGAGTGGTTAAGGTGCGATGTGCGCAGTAGCGTCAGGGCCTAACTCCATTCCAGTCTCCCCAGATTGGGGGAAGAGGTTGCTTATTCTGGAGGAACAGGAACGCGCCGAGGGTCCGGAGATGGGGGAGATCCAGCAACCCTCGGCAGACCAGTCCCACGCCGGGACTACGTTGCAAATTGAGGAAGGGTCTAGGCGTAAGCTGGACCACTGCGGCGAGCTAAACGACGCCGCAGCTGAAGGGGACCGTCCGCAGGACACGAGCACTAAAGAACCACAGTGGTGGCGCGAGCAGAGGACGCAGGAAGACTCCACTTCCAAGGGGACTCTGTGTAGTGTGGGTATGACCGCCGTATTAATAGTCGAAGTGGCTGGCAGCCAATGCGAAGTTCTTCTAGATACCGGCGCCTCAAGAAGCTTCATTAGCCCAGGGGCGGTAGAACGCCTACGGCTGAAAGCGTGGAAGCGGCCTGAGGAATGTGTGTTCACCGTAGCTAACGGTGCGCAGTTGAGGATAGATCGCGTGGTGAAGGGACTCACTAGGTGGTGTGGGGCTACCCGTTTAGCTGTCGACTTCTTAGTCGGGCCTGTGCCATATGACCTAGTGGTGGGGCTTGATTGGCTGACTAATCATAGGGTAGCGTGGTATTTCCAGTCTGATCAGCTACGTACGTATGTGAATGGCCAGTGGTGCGATCTACCTGTTGTTCGTGCCAACGATGTCACACAACGGAACGGCAGTACTCTAGGGACGCGTCAGCGGACCCCCGCGGAGCAGGCGTACGACATACTGGCTAAGCAGGTAGCAGACATGACTAGGGAGGAAGCTACGGCACTTCTACGCCCGCCCTCCAAGAAGTACAAGCCACCCTCAAAAGGCAAACGGAAGGCAGTGGTCGCTGCTCTGATACAGCAGGCTTCGGAGAGCGCAGCCTGCATACGCCATCCACTTCAAGGGCTCTACGTTGTACTAGCTCTTCCCGCGATGGAGTCGAACGTGGCTCTGCGTCTAGTGGAGGAGTGGCAAGGGGCTTTATGTTGTGCCATGGTCGAAACCTCCCCTCCCAACCCCCAACAGCAGTGTCTTAAGGCTCTACCCGCTTCCGCGCTTCCCGAAGAAGAGGAAACATCCCCTTGGCCAACGGCCAAACTCGAGTACTCGCAATTCGATACGTGGCTAACTTCCGTGGAGGCGCAGGCCACTCCCCGTGTGATACTGGATGTGTTGTGTGCCCACCGCGCGGTCTTCCCGGATAAACTTCCTACAGGGCTGCCACCGAAGCGCCCCCACGATCACCGTATCCTCCTCGTGCCAGGGAAGCTCCCTACGAAGTCGGCGATCTACCGCATGACCCCCGAACAACTTCAATTTCACAAGCAGGAGATAGCTAAACTGTCTGCTAATGGGTGGATTGGCCCCACTTACTCTCCTATCTGTGCACCTACGATTATGGTAGATAAGCGTAGCGATGGAACGGGCGAGCGTAAGATGCGCATGGTTGTCAATTACCGGGAGCTGAACGCCCTTACGATTGCGCCTGATTTTCCCCTACCACCCATTCAAACGATTCTTGAGATGCTAGGGGGTGCCCAGTACTTTTCTACCCTTGACCTCGAGTCAGGATTTCACCAGATAAGGATGGCTAAGGAGGAAAGGTGGAAGACAGCTTTCCGTTCTGTTATGGGGCTATTTGAGTATAAGGTCATGCCCTTTGGCCTCAAGGGCGCGCCTGCTAGGTTTCAGGCCAATATCAATGCCTACCTCCAGCCTTTAGTAGGTCAGGGAGTCATCGCGTACCTCGATGATGTCCTCATGTACAGCCACGACCTTCCCAGTCACGTTACCCTCCTCCAACAAGTGCTACGTATTTTCCTCGATCACCAATTTTACCCAAAGTTCTCTAAGCGGAAGTTTGCGAAGCGGGAGCTTAACTACCTGGGCTATACAGTCAGCGCGGAGGGCATAAAACCCGCAGCAGACAAGATTCAAGTCATCAAGGCGTGGCCCGAGGTGTTGGAGAACGAGACGCAAATTCGTCAGTTCTTAGGCACCGTTAATTATTGTCGCATGTTCATGGGCCCGGATTTTGCTAGGGTCGCCCGCCCGCTCGTCGATCTCACACGCAAAGGTGTCCCTTTCCAGTGGACAGACGCACATACTCAGGCGGTACGCCACCTCAAGCAGCTTTTGATTGATTACACCACCCTACAGATTCCTGACACCACGAAACCCTTTGAGCTATACACGGATGCTTCTGGCTATGCAATTGGCGCGGTCCTCGAACAGGCCGGTCAGCCAATAGGGTTCCTCAGTCAGGCCATGACCCCCACGCAGCAGAAATACTCGATCTACGACCAGGAGCTTTTGGCCTTAGTCTCTGCACTCGACAAGTGTGCACACTGCGACCTACCAAGGTCACGGCACACACCGACCACCAAGCCCTTACATACTTACAGCAGCTCAAGGCGTCGAAGCCTCTCCGCGGCCGCACCGCCCGGTGGCTAGATTTTCTGACTGAGTTCCCCGACCTCACTATTACATACTTGCCGGGTGCACGTAATCAAGTAGCCGACGCACTGTCTCGTCTCCCTTGTCACTCAGCCCCCTGCCCTCCACCCTCCCACATCGATCCCCCTGCGACCCCTTCTGGGTCCCTTGCAGCTCTCGGGCCTGCGACTGACCCGCCCGAACCACCCGGGGAACACATCCTGACTACCGGAAACTTGCCGGCCTCCGCCGACGTTCCTCCCGGAAACGCACTCTGTCACCGCCGGTTCCACCCCCGACCCCTACGCTCGAACCCGCTCCCGAATCTCCCACGCCGGCGGACCCAACACCTACGCCCAGTTCTCCCGTCCTCGACTGGCCGGCAGCGTATTCTAAGTGCCCTGTGTTCAGCGCGCCTTATAACGCTGCCTCTACCAAGCAGGGTGAAGTTGTTCAACTGGAGTTCCAACATCGTCGTCATACCTTCCGTTTTGTTCTGCCCTACTTACATATCTGCGTTAATGATCTCTGGCTTATTTGCGTGCCTCAATTTCCAGAGTTCCTCACTCACGTCCTGTACAGGCATCATGATCACGTCACCGCCGGGCATCGAGGCCAAAAGAAGACCTACAAGGCCCTCAGCAAGCGTTACTATTGGCCTGGCATGCGTACTTACACCAACGCGTACGTGGAGTCCTGCACGCAGTGTCGCGCATCCAAATCCCTCAATCAGAAACCCGCCGGCCTCTTACAGCAGCTGCTTATTCCCTCGCGCCGGTGGAGCTATGTTAGCCTAGATTTCGTCACTGACTTACCCCTCACTACCACTGGGCACGACGCCATCCTGATCGTCGTTGATTCTCTCAGCAAGATGGCACACTTTATTCCGGCCAAGAAGTCCCATTCAGCCGCCGACACTGTAGAGCTCCTTGCTGACCGTCTCATCCGCTACCACGGCTTCCCCGACGTCCTTATTTCCGACAGGGATCCTCGTTTCCAATCGGAAGTGTGGTCGCAATTGTGCTCACGTTTCAATATTACCCGGGCGATGTCTTCTTCTTACCACCCGCAAACGGACGGCCAGACCGAGCGAGTTAACCGCACCCTTGAACAGATGCTACGCACGTACATCCAGGCAGACGAGAGGGAGTGGGAAGGCCTGCTGCCTGCCTTGGAGCTAGCGTATAACACCACCAGTCATTCCTCTACTGAGCTTTCCCCTTTCGAAATCATGATTGGGGAGAATCCCTTAACCACGGCGGACTTAGACATTGTTGGTGCTTTGGCTCCTACGCTCACTTCCCCTATGACGAAACTCTTCCGGCAGCTCTGCGATCGCGCACAGAGCCACATCCTCCAGGCAAAGTGGCGTCAGAAATACTACGCTGACGCCCGCCGCAGGGCTGTGGAATATAAGGTGGGCGACCAACTCTGGCTTAGTGGCAAACACTTACCTGCTCTTAACCATTGTTCTAAGTTTGAACCTAGATGGGCCCTTCACAGTGACCGAACCTATTGGCACGGTCGCATACCGTCTTGCTTTGCCCCCCACATACGAGGGACACAATGTTTTTCATGTTTCACAATTGGTCCCACATCATCCCCGTGATCCCGCTTTAGTTCCACACGAAGCTCCAGTGGGCTGGCTACCAACACGCGATGACGCCGGCAACCCTACGGACCAGTATCTTGTCGACTATACCATGGACCAAAGAGGGACTGGAGAGGAGGCGCATTATCTTGTTAAGTGGCGGGGTGCTCCCGAGGAAAGGGCCACATGGCAACCGGCAACGAATGCAGTGTGTGCCAGTACGGCGGCGAAACAGTGATGTGTGCAGTTGGGACAGAGGACAACCTCATAGATTACAGTTATAGCTGGAGAAAAAAGCCATATATCCCAAGAGAAAGGAAGTACGAACCCTCCAAGAATGTAAAGATATTTCCCCTGCCTGAAACACAAATGATCCGAGTGTCGTCTAGAATTATTGTTGGACACTGAACTAGAGCGTGAAGGAGTAGTGTGGAACAACGTGAACTAGGTTCCTGAACAAGTAGAGGAGCAGACGGTGCGCATCAGTTGCGGCGATAAATATTGTGAGGACAGTAAGGAAATACCTGCCCTCGCATACTGTGTAACATGGGTATGACCACGCGCTCATGGGAGAAGCGGATCTCCCCAGTGAAACAAAATTTAGGCAATAGTGCTTCCTCGCTCGCGCTGGAGCTCTTATTTCGTTTTTCTCAAGCGCTTCTAACTCGGCATCGTTTGTAGGAACTCAAACTCCGCAGTCAGTTCTCTATGGGCATGTGTAGACTTATTTCTGCATAGTAGCAGTACTTCCTCCTCAGGAGGTGGTCCCGTGTCACATTTTGCTTGCTGTGTATAGTGACTGAGGTGGATTCCCGTTGTGTGGAGATCTCCATTGCAGGCTGTCTGAATGCTCCTTTGTCACTAATATTGCGAAAGTGCGGATGAGACTCTGGCGCCACATGTCCTCGCGGGGTGGCGCTGAGTCTGTTATGGTGTCGAGTGCCTCAACAGAGAGGTGCAAAACATTCTATGAATCCAAAATAATATCACCACTTGGAGCGAACCAAGCCCCGATTGGCTCGTTTTTTTTCCTCAACTGTCGGTGAGCCCAGAAACTCTTCCGATGTCTCAAGAAAAGAGTAAATAGAGGAGAACGCCAATGCACAGCATACTTAGAGACACTAAAAGTAGAGTCCACGACTACAAGGCGAGCAGAGAACCCCTGTTGTTGGTCATACGGTTTCTGGCCGCTGGCTGTAATACCCGGGACTAGATGCAGATCCCACAGGGTCTATCCACGCTCAGATCTTTGTTTTTTCATATACGGTGCAAGTGCGTATGTTAGATGCTATTGTTCCAGTTTATGGACCTCCCCCGGACACTTTTTTGTTCCTTTCTGGCCAACAGTATTACACACGGGTTACCTGAATCTCGGCAGCGGATTCCGTTGTCATGCCTGTACTGAATCAAGCTGAACAGTCAACCTATGTACCCAACTTTTGTGTGTGTAGTGAGCATATTTTGAGGAAGGGGGCCCTTCATCTATCGCAAGCCTCTGGCTTGCGGGATGGAGCCAACGAAGAGACAGCACGTGTAGTACCATGCTGAGAAGAAACAACCTTCGCCCGTTGTACGACTCGGAGCAATGAGAATCAAAATGCACTGGAGAATAGGTAACACGAAGAGGGTTCGTTGTGCAGCAGTTCTGGCTCATGATTCTCTACAGCTAGGCCCTGCATTTGGGGCTGGCAGTGTCAGTGATGTCGCCAGCTGCCCGAAAAATACCTGAAAAGAGAAGGCAGTTGCTTTCCATTTAATTTTCCCAGAGCTGAGAAAGAGAAGTGCCCCTTGTGCTTTTGGTGCATACCCCGATGACTCGAAGAAATATAGACAGCAGTGCTCCTGTGCATGCTTGGAGGGAAACTTTGAGAACCTACGTGGCCATACCTCTCATTACAGAAAGTATCGAGGAAGTCTGCCTCTGAACATCCCTGGGAGAGCGGAACTAAGCTTTCCGATGCTTAACAAGATGCGACCCTGATGCCCATAATAGCAAACAGTCAGCGCACGTATCTGATAGCTCATGGCATAGTCACCTTAACGTAATGGAAGGGCGCCCGCCAGAGCCTTGGTGTTTTGTAGCAGGTAGGCGCAAACACTGAATCTAGCCACTAGAACTCGCTTATTATGGTTCATGAGCCCATTTACTGCAGTGTGGTCGTTAGAATAGCTTCAGATTTCTTCAAAGGGTACGAGGACCTCAGGCCTTTTTGGCCTCGCCTTACAGAATGATAGGGACAAGGGTCGCCAAGCCTGCATTACTGAAAAAGCCCCAAGTGTTCACAATTTCTGCACTTCGTGGGCCAGTACTCCAATAAAATGATCTGGGTAAAGTGGCCCACGCCAGGAAAACATTTGGCGTGAAACACTGGAGGTGTTCCACTCGGGCAGTGGGGGCGGCAGTAGTCGTGGCCTTCCAGCACTTCAATGTGGGGGCTAGAATTGCTCAAGGCTACCACAAAAAGACCATGCACTGCGTTTACTATACATACAAGACAGGTATTAATGATCAGGCCCGCTGAGGAGTACATGTGTCCCCATCGTGATGTCACGCGTTATCCTCCATTAATTTAAGCCTCATTGCTGTCGTTTTCTGCGTCAACCCCTCTGAATATTGCCTCACATGTCCCCTTGTCTAGTACCGTTGTGTGGAGTCGCTTTTGGGGTTTTACGTAGAGCCTCAGTTTGTACAGGCCACCGCCATTGCTTTGTTTCCCGCTGGAGTCCGAAAACGCTACTGGTCCAGGTGCCCTTATCAGATAGAGCAAACACAATAGACGCTTATACTTTTCAAATTCTCGATTGTGGACCGAGCCACAGGCTTTTGGAAATTAAGGTGGGCTATGCGCGCTGCACGTGCCGACGCGCAGATGCAGCTGAGGTTGTTCGCGAGACGCTTTCGGTGGTCGTATCAGAAATAAGCCCCGAAAATTTAACTTCAAAACTAATATGAGAAAGAGTTTATGGAGAACATAAAGTATGAGGTGCAAGCGCCGATATGCTACGTACAGGAGGCAGTGACTTGTCTTGAGGCTGTTCTAGAATTTGTAATGTTACACAGCGCATCCCATATTGTGCCAAACGAGAACCCAACCCTAAGCACACACGTTGCACATTCATACACAAGGGCTATCTTTCATGGGAACAATTTATCCAAACCCCAAATAACCACGATAGCCAACTGACGTTTGTCCGAGGGGCGGTTACAGCTCGTCAAAGGAATGCACGGAATTGTTTGGTTTTGTGCACCTCTGTACAAGTATAGCGTGACGCTGAGGCTAAATTTTGAGCTATGAACCTGCCCATAATACCAAATATGACGCTTAGATTCTGAGGAGTGCAGTACAGTATCAGTGTGAAGCCCCGCTCTAAGCAACCGGCACGATAACGGCCCGTTGTGGGCCTCTTCAGCAGGGAGCACGCGAAGGCGAAAAAAATTGTATTTCAAGGAGTCTATTCTTTTGGTAATAACGATCTGTCGCTTTTAAGTTGCCGATCAGTAAAGACGAAACTGTGTTCTGATGAGCAAGTACTTTGTTAACTATGAAAGGCGACGATCCCGCTCCTCAGTCTGCAATTTTTCGCACTATCAGAAAGGCTCGGTTACTTGTTGGGAAGACATGAAACTGAAACTTTTGTAGTTCCAAAGTTTTCACTTCATTATACTCCTGATCTGCTGTTTGTCGCTCGCCCTCAATCGGCTGCTCACCGTGGAGTTGACAACGCTTCAAATGAGGTCGAGCCAGCTTGATAAGTTTCCACAAAAATCAAACAATGCCAACGGGTCTTTTCTACCAGAAGGTGCACTCGTTATTAGTGCTTCACGAATCCCCGGCGCAGGCTTAGGGCTCTTTGCCGGAGAGGGTGAGGGAAAACGAGGCGGCTGATGACATAAGTTATTTACCAACAGTGTGCTGTTGCCTCAGTGACACGAAGTGCCCACTATGGTGCATTGTGGTGACAGTTGTAGCTCGGATGCACGCTACTCCAAAGAATGGGTTTTTCTTTCGCGTTCTTTTAAGGCCATTAAATCTCTGTCTTCGATTGTCTTAGATATCGCACCGGGGACATGGATTTGCGAGTATCTCGGAGACAGGAAGAGCCTAATGTGGGCAGCCGCTACATGAAGATTAGCCCGGGAATTAAAGCTGATATTCGGGGCCCTTGTTTCTGTCCATTAGTCGACAGCGGCGTCGGACTAATATGCTCATTAGAAAGTGAATAGAGATTCAGCCTAACGGAAGTAGTCTTCGGCGAGTGCAGATGATGCATTATGCAGGCAACTGCTGCGCTTGGAGGACAGACAATATGTTATGGGTACTGGACATATTAACTGCCACATAGATGCTACGAAGCATCCAAAGGCAAGTTCTGCAGGCGTGTTTTGCGTATCTCCCGTGGCCAACATTGTCCTGATTAATGACCCGCACGCCCGATCTGCAAAAAGAAGTAGCAAGCGGCGTAGATAGCATCACAAGCACGCAAGGCTCCGCGTTGTGCGCCAGGTATTCGCCAGGTACGTCAATGACAACGGCAACAAATGCGCCTTGAACGCCGAATTCGTCAAGTTCAAACAAGAGAGGTGCGTCTGCAGCGCCCGCCGACCGCAGGCGTCCCGGCGTTACAGTGCGCTTGGAACCAATTCAAGCAGGCAAACACGTTCATTGCCAATTTTCAGGCGCGTCTTACTACGAACTACTGAGAAGGTGCTGAAGGGTTCCGAGATTTATGCTTCATATGGGGAGGTATTCACCCGCAGCTTGGAGCACCCCACTTTTTCTGGCCCAAAGAGGAAGTGCTATGTTTAGAAGTATTTGTATGAGCTTTTCATCTTCTGCCTGTGACGAGAACATTCAGGTATTTTGGCGTAATCGTGAACAGTACCTTGGTTACACGCTGGGATCAGGCTAATATTTGGGGCCGCAGTGCTGGTAGGCGTTTCTTCGTCGCAAATGCTCCCTGTACAGGTGCCTTGGTAACAGGCAACCAACTAATGGAGCTGTTGGCTTGAATCGTTCAAAAGCCACTGATTGCGCGTTGCAGGACAGCTCCTTGGTGCCAGGAGTGAATAAATTAACGTCCAGTGGCAACAGGCAAGGGCAAGCTCTCCATGTTGAATGAAGAGCATGTAGAATAAGTCAGAGCTGGCAATCTAGTACTTCTGCAAGCGCGGTCGTGTTTTGCTGCACTTTGGACAAGGGAAATCCTGTCCGTAGGCACAATGGCGAAACTCGTTCC